TATCTATCCATCCATCCATCTATCTATCTATCTATCTATCTATCTATCTATCTATCTATCTATCTATCTATCTATCTATCTATCTATCCATCCATCTATCTATCTATCTATCTATCTATCTATCTACCTATCTACCTACCTATCTATCTATCTATCTCTCCATCTATCTATCCATCTATGTATGTATGTATGTATGTATGTATGTATGTATGTATGTATGTATGTATGTATGTATGTATGTATGTATGTATGTATGTATGTATGTATGTATGTATGTATGTATGTATCTATCTATATATCTATATATCTATATATCTATATGCTTAGTGTGTTCCCTTTGCATGCTATGTGAGACCTTACACACGAGACTGGAGCCTCACAGCCAGGATCAGCACGTTACATAACATCCAGAGGAGCTAGAGGAGTGCTGTCTGACTGTGAGGATCAGGAGCAGTGAAGTGAGGATGATGCATTGTGCAAGACCCGGGGACTCCTCGCCCGCCGGCTGCCTGCTGAGGGTTTGTGACTTCAAGAGTCCTCGGTTACATCACTGCTGATGTGCCCAGGCGTGCTGCGAAAATGGACCTCTCAGCTCCTTCACATCTATTTCAAGCACTGATATTTATTCAAAAGGCAACCCTTAATACACAGTTTAACACGGTTTAAAGGGAGGGTTTGCATATTTGAAAGTGGGGTAATATGAGGTGCTTGAACATCAGTTAAGTGTACGCTATATTTAGAATGTTTTCTCCACCTTTCATTTAATTGTCACTGTGAATTTTATACACTACTGCCCTCAAATATTCCTTCAACAGCAAAAAAATAGTTAAAGTTCATGGCATGTTTTGTACTCTCTGCTAACAATCAGAAAATTAAATGCAATCTATAGAAGGAAAACATTAGTCAAGTGACACTTCACCTGCCAGTGATGATGCAAAGTGAATCACTAGAGAAACAAATATATATAAAGGAAATTCTCGTCTGGATAATGGATGTTATCCTGCATATGATTCACTACCTAAAATACACACAGTTTTCACACACACATGTAAATAATATGCACACATGACCCAGTGTTTCCCATACATTGATTTATTTGTGGCGGGCCGACACAAATAAATATCGTCCGCCACAAATGGATCTCATAAAAAAAATAAAAGAATTATAATATTCTTTTTTAATTTCTTTTAATTTTTGACATTTTTATTTTGGTGGTCTAATGGATAGTGAGGTGGGCTGATGATCGGAAGGTTGCAAGTTCAAATCCCGCCTGGAACACCACTACTAGTGTGCCCTTGAGTAAGGCACTTAGCCCTCAGTTACTCCAGGGAGAATGTCCCTGTAATTGGTCATTGTAAGTCGCTTTGGAATAAGGCGTCTGCTAAATGCCTAAATTGTAAATTGTAAATTATATTTTTGGGAGAATAAACCCCACAGATCCTCAACTCCGGTGTGTCTCACTCATTAACAACGCAACACAGAGCGTTGTCTACAGTAGCCATGAACTCGCATGTATTTTCTTATTTGAGGGGGGGTGGATGCGCGGGCCACCCGAATAGGTTTAGGCGGCCTTTGGCTTTTCTTGCCGGGGGGGGGTGGTGTTGCGGTGCCCCCACAAATAGAATCAAATTATGTGGGAAACACTGCATGATCAAATATGTATGTATGTTCATTTTAATTCATTTCTTATTTTATAGTTATTATATAATTTTACATTTTTATCTTTGATTTTTATTAATCTGTGTGAATCTGTTTTTCAATCTCACCCTGTTGCTATTAAACTACTGCATTTCCCCACGGAGATTATTAAAGTTCCATCTTATCTTATCTCGATCATCTGTGGCATTTTGATTTTGAGTTAGATGTTTTGTGTTTGGGTTTAAGGACAAATAGCTGCTATGAAATCTGGTTGGACAATGGAGTGATTTTGGACACAGCTACCCACAGAGCCCCTGTTGTTCCTGCAGGATGAAATATATATATATAATATATAATAAATATAATAAGGTGTCGTTGTCTCTCACCCGCACTCTGCTCATGGCCTCCTGTGCCTGCTGCATGCGGGCGCTCTTCGTGGGCGTCCTCTCCGACAGCAGGTGGGTGCAGCCCAGGTAGGTCGCTGCGAAGATGATGCCGTCAATAAGGTCGTCTGGGTCACATGGCCCCGGGACTGCATGAGACAAAAACACTCATGAGGCACATGCATAAACATACAAGCAAAACTAAACACACTTCATGAATATAAAAGAGTGAAAATATGACAATGAACTTGCAAAACTACACTAAACATCTACAATAGTTAATTATCCACTCACCATCCACAAACGTTGGAAATGAAGGAAGAGATTTGCGCAGCTGGAGGCAGAAAAAGGAAACACGACATTATGATGCTTTTATTTCCACTCACATACTGCAGGTCTCTCCTAACTCATTTATATTCTGCAAGACTTCTACTGCTGTCAGCCATTTGGATGCTGGCAGATAAACACTTTAAAGGATTTATCATCCATGTTGCCATGGATTCAGTGCGTTACGTAGTGGTCTACCAGTGTTTGCACGCCTGTATTGGATTACCTTCTGCACATTCTCAGCAATGTTGTGAAATAACACTAGGTAATATATACAGTGGTGTAAAGCGTACTTATTCTTGCCTCTTTATTTTACATGTTAGTCTATTTATTCTATTTAGCCTTTTAACTGCACTGTCTCCTTTGCTGTAAAAATGCAAATATCCTTGCTCGGGGACAAATACAAATAATTTCTGATTTAAATAAAAGTATACTAATTGAGTTATCAGAGGTTCCTGATTGCAACAAACAATGAATTTGCCCACAACTGTTACTCAATTACTTAAGAAATTGAGGAAAACATGAAGCAAAAGCAAGCTCTTGAGTTATAAGAGTCATGGGAGTCGTGTGGTGCAGTGGGTTGAGCCTTGGTGTTCGGATCAGGGGGTCACAGGTTCAAACCCCACTGCAGTCAGCATGTCGTTGTGTCCCTGGGCAAGACACTTCACCGCAAATTGCTCCTGTGGGGATTGCCCACAGTACTGAGTATGTAAGTCGCTTTGGATAAAAGCGTCTAACAAGTGACATGTAATGTAATAAGACGATTTTCTCTTAAGTTTTTATGGATTTAAGTTTGTTTGTTCACCTCCTGGACCGTCATCTGCTGTAAAGGCGACTGTGGCTGAACTTGAGGTCGCGGCCGCTGAGCTGGAAGCTGCGGTTGATTTGGAGTCTGTTGTTGGTGCTGATGTTGCCGATGGTGAAGCTGATTGGGCGCCGCGTGTTGGTATGGTTGAGGCTGAGTGTGTGTCTGCGGCGGCCTGGCGGTGTCCCTCTGCTGTGAGAGGTGGGCTTGGTGGTGGTTGTGTTGTTGGGGGGGGCGGTTGGTGGTACTGTTGAGGAGGAGGAGGAGCTCTGGAGGACTCGGCCCTCGGTGGACTGACCGGTTCCCGAACTGGAACAAAGCGGGACGGAGACTCAGACAACGACTGAGCGGGGGAGTGAGGGGAAGACTGAGAGAGGGAAACAAAAAGATAATAGAAATCACTTCATGCATTTACAGCAGCTCAGCAGACACCTTATTCTGACTGTACATTATTCAGAATGTGGGCATTAATCCAACACACGATGAAATGAGAGCAGGGATGTAAGTCATGTTGTAAAACTTCCCAGAAGCATTTCACTCTAATTGAATTACTGCATCACTGCAGGACAAAACTCCTCTGGCAATGCCACTCGTATGCAGCCTTAAAGGTATAGTACAACACTTCGAAAGAGAAAACGAAATGGCACTAAGACATAGGGCTGCTCGAGTATGGCAAAAATCATAATCTCGATTATTTGGGTCAATAATTGATATCACGATTATTAAAAACGATTATCCATTTACTTTGAAAACATCCAAAAAAAATTGAACAGTATGTTTTTAACAGTTGATTACCCTGAACTGTAAGTATAATTCAACTGAAAAAGCAATACAAAAAATAATAAAAAAGAAAAATAATAACAATAATAAAAAATAAATAATCGTTTTATTTCGATTACGTTGTTTTCGTAATCGTTGCAAGCCAAAATCGTAATTGCGATTAAAATACGATTAATTGAGCGGCCCTACTAAGACATATCAAGAAAAACATCTTGATATTAGTTTAACTCCAAAAAAAAGTGTTAAACAAACAAGAAGAAAAAAAATAAGAGTTGTTTGTAAGCCTATGTTTACACTTTAGAGAGAAGTCTTCACGCCAAGCTACACTAAAAACGTCCTTTCATAACGCAGAGACATAACAATTGATCAATTCCCATTTCACTACTAGGAAGAAGGCAAATGAGCATATTCCCTAAAATCAAACAAATGTATTTTCAACAATCAAGTCGAACACCAGAAATGGTAACAGCCTCAGACCATATTGCTCCTTTGGGAGATGTATTCTATCAAACCAAAAAGAGTAAGCCTTAAGTGAAGTCACACTCACATGTCCAGCTGCAGTCTGCAGTGGGTACCCCTCCTCTGTGGGGCTGACCTCCTGCCTCATCACCCAGATGGGCTCCACGGGGCGGTCAGGTGTGTAGGGGGAGCGCAGCACCTTCGTCTTCACCTCCTCAATCGCCTCCTTGATGTCTTTAATGGCCAGGGTAATGGCGTCTCCCGATCCCCTCGTACCTTCTTCCCCTTGGAGACCCACCCCCACCGCATTCCTCTCCTCCTGGGTCTCCCCCGAGCTGCTCTGCCCAGACGAGGGGCTCTTGGCCTGGGATTCTGCTTGTCTGGGGGTCTGCCTGCGACTTTTGGGCAGAGGACTTTGATCGGCGCCCTCCCCCTCAACGTCGGACTGCCCGTCGTAGTGGTGCAGGCGGCACCCGACCGAGCGGTCCAGAGGGGGGTGATGGGAAGCTCTGCCCTGCCTTTGGGCATAATGGGAGCTCTTGGTGGGGGAGGATGGAGCCCCTTTTTGTACATTCTCCTGTCTATGGCTGTTAAAGGGGGTCTCCTGCTGGGCCTCTTTAGACTCTGTCCTCCAACCAGATTGCCTGCGAGGTTCTCTGTGCAACTCGGGGTAGGAGGTCTTGAGGGGCTCTGGGAAAGAGTTAGGAAAGGACTTGGTCTCCGGGTACGACTCGTAGACCGGCTCTTGGTACGTTTTTTGGTGGGACTCCGTATAAAAGTCTGCATAGGTTTTAGGATAAGAGCTGAATTGCGGCGGCGAGCCCGAATCGGAGCAATCGTCGTCTTCGTCTTCGGGCAGCAGGTCGTTGTCGGGCACGGGGCTCATGCTGGCGTCCTCGCTGAAGTGGTCTATCTGGGGGAAAGGGGGAACATCCGGGGAGGAAGGAGGAGTTGGGGACTGGAGGGGCGGGGGGCTGTGGAGAGGTCCGTCCAAACTGAGCGAGGCCACGCTCTCCGTGTCGGAGCAGAGATCGGTGATTTCACTTCCCTGAGCTGCGATGTCCTCCGGTACATCGTCCATCTCTTCTACCTGATCCTCCTCAACCTCCTCTGAGCGTTCCTCTACTCCCTCATCGACCGCCTGTGTGTCCTCATGGCTGCAGTGGGAGTGACTTGGGGTCGAGGAGATGTCTCCGTCATCCTCCGCCTGTTCTTGCTCTTCGTCCTGTGCCTGAATTTCCTCTGGTTTCTCTTCACACTCCACTGTAGGCTCCTGGAGGTCTTCTTCTGCCTCAGCAGGAGGAGTGTCTGGGAGGCGAGGTTGCATGTCATGTGTTGCAGGAGCAGGTGACAGTTGGGTGGGGGGGACAACAGCAATGGGAGTCTGGTGAGGAGCACCCCTGTCCTGCAATTGGTTGATGGATACAGGATCTTCTAATGAGCATTGCTCTACCTGCACCTCTGCTGGACTCTGTCTCTCCTCCACACCAGGTGGAGAGTCCTGCATGTCTCTGATTGGCTGCTTCTGTCTTTGACCCCTGAGTCTTGGATTAGGGTCTCCATGGCGGCGGTAACGTGTCACAGCAGGGCGGGCTTGCTGGACGGGACGAGGTTCAAAGTCTCGATTATCCTCCCCGTTTGGACTGGTGGAAACCAACGACGGGACCAGACCGGGACTGTGAGCCTGGCTCTGCCCTGACGGGGGCTGCCTGCGATGCCTAGGGGCCCCACGAGCTGAGGGTTGGTGTTGGTGGTGAGGAGGCTGATGATGATGATGATGGTGGTGGTGATGGGGATTCGGTTCCCCGTCCTGGTTGATCTGACATGGCCTCCAGGACCGACGGACGGGAGCTTCCCCGGGGGACGTCCCGTTGGGCTGCCGGCTCCTCGGGGGCCCCTTCTGCTCCTCGCCTGCCTCCCCGGACGCATCTCCCTGATACTTGTGGCTCATGGCTGGGATCTGATCAGAACATGCTCTTCTTGTCTCCAGGGAAACTCCACTTATAGCTCAGCCTGGTAGAGACGGAGAAAGGATATAAGAGAACAAGTCTTATCATGCACATAAGAGGTCAAGGAAAGGTTTACGTTTAAAACAGAAACACTATGCATTTCTATGACTTTTGACATTATGTTCAAATCCAAATGACACGGAAAACCCTTTCCAATGTAAAAATATCCTAGAACTTCGTTTTCACTGTTGTTCACGTCACTAAGGGGGAGACATTTAGTGCAGATGGCAGACAGTTCAATAATATTGCTGTTTCTACCCTTGCTTACAGAATTTTTTACATGTCAACACATAAATGTAGAATTACTCGTGCACTATATTGAGATACAGAGGCACCAGAAGTCTGCTACTGAGATCAGGCTACTCCCACGTCAAAGACCCCGCCACCAACACCGCAGTTTTGCGTTTTCATCTGGACAAAGGTTTTATTTTAAGGAAGAAAAACACTTTTGTACCCATAAGTATAGAAAGTTTACATGCTACGATGGCTAATGAAGCCCCCAACCCAGACATATCTCTATCTAAGATTACATACACACAAAGAGGATATATTACAGTGATGTCGGGTATCAGACATAGGACTCCCTGTCTCTATATTGCTAATAGTAAAACCCTAAATCCTCTGGGATCCATGTGTGTGAAGTGCACTTTAATCTGTACCACGTTCAACAGCAGCTGGCAGATGGCATAGGAGGGGAAAGAGAGGAGGATGAGGCAGGGCAGAAGGACAAGGAGGGACATCTCTTTGGTTAGGTATCAGATAGGACCTGACAGAGAGAGATAGATAGGGCAGTGATCTGAATAATAAAAGGCCCTCTGAGAGTGAGAAGCCCAGTTTTGATATTCATTGAATATGACTAGGCTATCAGGGTACACATCAGTTACTACAGGCCTGACCCTGAGTAAGGTCAACGGGCTGAGAAAGGACAACCGAACGCAATCCCGCTCGATGCTTCAGGAATAATAAGCTCGTTCCAGAAAAGGTCACCAATGGAAACTGTACAGTCTGACTTGGAGAAAGAAAAAAGACTGCCGCTTGTTTGTACATAAAAGCTTAAAAGCATTTCTCATTATTGCTGCAGGATACGTTTCACTGAAGATGCTTTCATCATTTATTTATCCGACCTTAATGATCACAAGAATCCATAAATGTGTGGGAGTATACATGAGACATCAAAAATGTTCTCCTTAAGGTTTCTTAACTCAACTCTTTAGTTCATGGGTGATGAATATTTAAAATACTGTAGACTCATTTAACAATCTTGACTGGGTTTCAAACCATTATTGTTGTTTTTCACTGAGATTATTAGAATTATCTGGCCTCCTATTTTCTTTGCTTAAAGATGTGACTTAAAGTGGACCTATCATGCTATATTATAATAATATAGTGTAGCACCATACCTATATAAGGCATATTTATACTTTTTTTTTTTCAAAATACCAAACAGATCATGCATTTTAGCCATGCCTCATTTTGCTCAATTTGACATTTTTTAGATCTGTTTTAGCAAGGGCAGATTCTGTGAGAACAGCACCATCTACAGGCCTGGCATATGTACTACAGCATCTCCAGCGCTTTAGAACGGCAATGGGTGGCTGTCTCCTCCTGATTGGTGGAGTTGGCCCAATAGCCGTAGCGCCACCGTCCTGACGTCAGGACAGTGTTCAAATCTGGATCAGTCTGTATCAGATCCGTTGCAGCCCCTTTTTTAGAGATTTGGGTATGGAGGAAAATAGAGAGGGTTGTGTTTTCTGACACTTGGTGAGTTCCCTGGAACACCGGGGACACATATTCATGTATAAAAGACGTACAAAAGTGCATTTTGCATGATAGGTCCCCTTTAAATATATTTTTTTATTATAATAGATGTCTGTTTAGTCAATTGAGTTATGATCTTTCGCCGAATAAGGTTACACAACGGCGACTGAGTCGTTAGATCACTGATAAAACACCATGAATTACAACTGGCTATCTGTGGGGATATTTTCTGGAAGTGAAGTGCTCTCTGGGAGAACAAAACCGATGCTTTGATAACTTTAAGTTAAAATTGTGATACTTTTAGTTTTTATTCGTAAGGAAATTAAAAAAAAGTGGTAAAAACGTGAATAATGTATCCTTTTGAATTTGTATCCTTGTTTTCACGGGAATGGATGTCTTGTAACCGTGAACTAATGATAAACTTGTTGTAAATTACTGCAGCTCCTGTCTAATCAACACATTTCATATTGCATTCTGTCACAAGGTTACTAGGTGATAGTCAGATTATATGTGCAGATATATTGCATTAATGCACACAATGTGGACAATATCTGGTTTGCTTACTGCACATATTTTATATTTTATTGCATTCTATTTCAATGTAAATACTGCTTTATTTTATTTTCAATTTTACTACATTTTTTCTTCTTTTTTTTGTAATGTTATTATAGTTTTCTTAAAATAGTTCGCTATCTGTGTTTTTTTTTTTTACAGCACCACGACACCAAGTCAAATTCCTCGTACGTGTCAACCTACCTGGTAATAAACCCGTTTCTGATTCTGGTTCTGATTCTGATGTATTTTCAGAAATGCAGGACTTGAGTGCACACACACAGAGAGAGAAACCACAGAGGTCAAAGGTTAATGTGGGTCCTGTAATCTGAGCACGGACCACAAACTGCTGGGGAGGGACCATGGAGGGACGCAGCGGGGATGAGGGCGGACTCTCAGGGTGGCTAATGTCCCTCTAATGCCCGGAGACTGGATGGCAATGGTTGGGTGACTCAGAGGGGGGGGGGCTCACAGATGGCCCTGGCAACGTGGCAGTGAAACTTAGGCTTGTAGAGCTGCACTTCCATCTGTCAGGCTGAAGTGAAAGCTGCGGGCTGAGAGTTTTTCTAGTCCATTAATTTGCTGATCTTATACTGACCGACAACACGCGCATGTTGGCGTACTAGCAAGGACTGATTGCATCTAATTACTAGCCTAGTAGCCTTTTACTTGTTAACAGTTTGGGGCTTTATTAAGACAATTCGAGCAGTCATCACAATATTTTTGAATGTGTTTTCCTGATTAGCACATTTTTATAGTTAGGAAATCATCTGGAAGCAGTTGGTCTACTTCAGTTTCAGAAACCGTGAGGAAACACCATAACAATTTCCCAGAGCTCTAGAGAATGTAAATTATTGTTGCTTTTACAGACATTTTCATTTTGTTTCTGAAGTAGAGGAGTTATTAACTTGTCTAACAGTCAACAATCAAATAAGCTCATTATTGCTGATAAATAATAAATGTGAATCTGTTCGTCATTTTTCTTTTTTATCAACGACCATGTCAATAACAAACCAACTGTACCTGAAATGTAAACTAAATGATGCCCCTGCAGTCCCTGTAAACACGAGTAGAATACAACCCTGTGTTTAACATATAACCAGGACAAGTGATATTAAGATCTTCCCGATGACAAGGCAAAATTAAAAAGGTACATTCATGATAGTTACAATCGTCATAATGCATTTGAAAATATGGTATCCAGCCTTATATCGCACTATTATATTGTAACAAGTGTACATTTGCCCTTCACCGAGGCGTCAGTACTATATTGACCTCAACTTTTATCCTGAAGCCTGCTTGAAAAATCTTGGAACAGTTATTTGATTGGATGATAAATCAATAAATCAATAAATACAAATGTAAATAACAGCTTTGATAATTGCTTATGTATTTCAAGCAAGAATGGTGACATAACGTTTAGCTCAAACAAAACAAGCATTTTGAGGAAATCACCAAATGCTATGGCAGTTTGTGATCAGCATTTAGCTATTTGAATGATATTAAATTAACCAAACTAGGGCCAACAATGATTGGCATTATCCATTACTCTGCTATTTTCTTAATTAATCGTTTGGTTTGTTATGTCTTAAAATGTGTAAAATGTCACCAAAGTAATGTCTTTATATCTCTTCGTCTTATCAGTCCAAACCCAAACGTTATTAACAGGATAATTCAAATATTTGAGTTTTTGAAAACATCATTTTCTGCCTTCTTGCATGGTAAATTATATAAGAGAATAAAAACAATTGTCATGATGATTAATCGATTATCATCAAATTATTCTCACTGTGTAGGATTCTCATTATTTTTCTATTCTTGACAGCATGATTCATCCACACACACACGTACACGCGCACACACACACACACACACACACACACACACACACACACACACACACACACACACACACACACACACACACACACACACACACACACACACACACACACACCAACATCTCAACAGTCGCATACCTTACATTGTGTTTACAAGTCGACGTTGCCAATGCTCCAGAGAAACAAGATTAATCCATGAACTAGTGCCAATTGGCAAGTGCTTTTATTTTGAAGGCTTACTGGCTTCTTAAATCCCCTCCCACGGCCTTGAACGATATTATTATGTTAAAAAGGGTAAAAAAAAGCCTTCCTTTTGGGATCGGTGCTCATTATCAGATAGTGGCCATTTGAAATGCATTTACAGGGTACAATTCATACATGATCGTGGCGTTATTCTGCATATGAAGCACGTATATCCTGGTAATCACGTACACAATCTCTTACTAGCCTATACCGCCTGACATCTATGTGAAAAAACAAGTGCAGCACACTGTCACCTGTTTTCTTTCCCTCTTGACGGGCCAGATTAAATCTCTGCAGGTGTCTGATCCGCCATCAACGAGAAAAACCTGAACCATCACTCCGCCTTTCAACCACACACTTAACCCGGCTTCCCTTCAGAGGTTGTCGGACATGACATCTACCGATTTACCTGCATGTCAGAGGAGGAGAGGCCCGGGTCCTGCAGCACACATCGCCCCTGCTGTATATCCCGTGCCTGCTCGTTTAGGCTCGGCTCGGTTTGGCTCTGCTTCTCTCTCCAGACAACTTGCTCGGATTAAAGCGGAGAGCCCCTCCTTCTGCACCGTGACATCAGAGCGGATTAGCGATGCACAAAGCGCCTTTACAGCCTCGGTTGATGCTGGTGGTGCAGCAGACACAAACAGGTCTTTACGGCCATGAGAAGTGAAGCCTCCTCCTCCTCCTCCTCCATCAGTAGCAGCAGCAGCTCCTCTGACTGCCTGCTGCAACACCGTTAGATGATATGTTCCCACGGTCTGTCGGAGGTGTCGCTGTTATCCAGCTGTGGGTCTTCCTCATGCTCCTGAATATTAAAACACAGAGCAAAACAAGTTATATCTTACTTATTAACTATTATTATGTATTTATTTCAACAAGGACCATGCATACAAATACATTAATCACAGAAAAGAGAAGAGATGAATTATGCCAGATTTGAGCTAATAGCTCATTTCCATCTGCAGTCCGGCTACATAACAATCAACAAACACTAAAAACATTGCATAATCTCAATCATACAAACAATTATAAAACATGATTTAAGTACAGGTCAATAAAATAATACATAGTACAGTTAAAATATAACATAACATACATAGTACAGTTAAAATATTACTGACCCCAGTTTATGCCCTATCATCGTTGATTAGCTAAAATAATTCTGTCGAGTCGGCTAACACTTAGCTAGCAGCTAGTTTAATAGCAAATTAACATTTAGCACTGAGAAGCTGATGTTAGCTGAACAACAATATTGTTCCCATAAAGACAAATGTAAACTAAAAACACAGACGTTTAAAACGACGTTTGATAACTTTGCCCGTTTTTAAAGACTCCCCAACTGAGGCAAAAAACATTACCATGATGGTTATTAATATCAAAGTGGCAACACAGTAATGAGTCCTGCTAATCAAAGATGTCTGCCGGAAGTAACATAGTTGTCACTTTATTTGGAAATGAAAATATTGTTTCCCTTAAGCTTATCATTATTAATAAATGTGTATGTGTTATTAAACAGCTTGAGGAATTATTTAAAAAAGACAGTAAATAATTCAGTAATTATTTTAAAAAGACACATACAGTAGGTAAATGTTCTTAATTTGTGTTCTTAAACATTAACAGGTTAGAGCTGTTTTAATGAAATCAGATACTAAAAAAAGTTATCGTCTTTTTTGTTTTTCATAAACGTTCCAAAAAGTTTAATAAACCCTTTTAATTGCAGGCCTGTTGTATTGTTAGGTCAACATGTCCAAGAGGAAATACAGTAACTAATCATCATGACTGAAATACAATGTAGGCCTACTGAGTGGAGTGTGAATGTGAAACAATGTGCACTATAATCCAGGCATGTTTCTGTGTCACTCAAGGCCTGGTGGAGCAGATCAATAGGGCCTGTGTCTACATTGTTGAGCCCCTGTAACGCATTCTCACTTAAGTCACATGCACGTACTTGAGATGCCGTTACCGTGACAACAATGTGACTGGAGAATGGTGATGGTGTAGAGTTGTAACCATGGCATCTAATCTGTGATTGATTGCTATATTTGCAGCTACACACATCTCAGATCCCACACATTCAGCCTGCACTTTTGTCTGAAAGTGGAGGCATGCGTGACACACAATTTGAGCCAATCAAAAAGCTCCAAAATATAGAGTGCAACATGCAGAATCAGGTCATTCACAATGTATCTGGGGTCATGTCACACAGCATATCATTCACGAGTCCAATTCTTTGCTGGTCTATTTCCAGAAAGACATCAATAATTTGTGGCTTTCTCTGCATACATGGATGAAAGTATACTGTACGTGACTTGTCGTTAGTTGTATAGCACGCAGTGAGCACCGACTGTACCCATTACTGGAATTAATGCACATTAATGTTTCATTGCGGCCCATTACAGAGTTATATTTTATCAGGCAGAAAACCCATGGCTTCTTAAAATGCCCACTGGAGGTTCTTATGTTTTCATGAGACAGTAGGCTCCATGTTTGCCTGTGTTCTCAGTCAGACTGCAGATGGCACTCTTTGGCAGGATGGTGTTAATACCCATGTACTGTTACACTTAATTGTCAACCTTAATCTATCTGGGGAAGTTACACTGAGAGCACTGTTTGTATGTCAGCTATACATAATAAATCCTTGACTAGAATCTTATCTTCTGGCTACTGGACTAGTTGGGGGTTAAGGGCCTTTCCAATGGGCCCTTCAGTGGGGGAAATATAAAAATCAGCTGTTTCAGTTTACCTAGCTTTACGTATGACCAGAGGTGGGAAGTAGTGGAGTACAAATACTTTGTTGCTGTACGTAAGTACATTTTTCTGGTATCAGTACTTTACTCCACTAATTATTTTTCTGACGACTTTTAACTTTTACTTCTTACATTTTTAACACTAATACCTGTACTTTCTACTTCTTACATTTTAAAAACAGGTTTGTTACTTTAGTTTGAATGTGTGTTTGGTGGCGTGATCATTATTATTTAGAGTCATTGCGTGCCTATTGATTTGAACACGATCCGTGTATCCATCATTTCCTGGTCTTCTCTAAAGAAGAGGGACCAATGAAAACGTTGTCATGTTGCCGTTGTTCAGCATGGAAACATTCATTAGCTAACAATGACGTTATTGTTCTACTAATATAAAGGGAGGTCAGGTACTCTTTAAAACAGTTGGTAGTTATGGGTACTTTTTACTTAAGTACATTTCAAAGCCCATACTTCTTTACTTTTACTTGAGTTAAGAAGTTTAGTCAGTACTTCTACTTTTACCAGAGTATTTTTAAACACGAGTATCTGTACTTCTACTTGAGTAAAGGATGTGTGTACTTTTGCCATCTCTGCTTATGACTGAGGCATCACAAGACACAATAAAGAATTGATTAAAAAAAACTGCTTAGTCTTACAAATGTATTGAATGATTTCACAATTTCATGATTACATTACATATGTTTGTAGTGGTCATTAGTCTAAATTATTACTAATGATCCCTACAGATGAAGTAAGAATCTGGCATCTGAGCCAGTTTTGCTCAGAAAAACTGATTTCTTCAGCGAGAAATCTTGGTTGAAAACATGTCAATAACAAATGAATCTGCTCTCATCAACCCTGAGAACAAAGCAGGTGTTTAATGATTAATAACAAGATTAATGTTGCTTCTTCAGAGTGCTTGGTCCAAGGCGGTGGTCTGGGTGTTCCCAGAGGAGGGGTGGGGGCCGGTGGAGATGTAACCTGCAGAGACCTCTGGCAGCAAATCACATACTGAGGATAGGATGTCATAACTGTATCATGCAAACACTAATCTCTGCATGCACTTCTCCAGCTCGTTATTGAAGCTATGTATTACTGTTAAAGTAGAAACAGACATCCAGGGATAGGAAACAGATACGTGATGAAAGATCAAACCAGTAAAAAACTAGAATTGTCTTGGGAACTGAATAAATTCATGGACATAATCAATTTTCTCTCTGCTGATAGGTTCTTGGGAATTTTTACGAGTCTTTTCCTCCCAAAAGTCTGGTAAGGATGACCCAGATCTTCTGTGATTTCTGAAGAAAAACATGTATGGCAGTATTGAGGTTTTCTGGGGACAGTCAGGGTATAATTTACCCCTTCATCTGGTCTGAAAGAGTTCAGGGCACCTCATTCAAAAGTAGATAATTAAAAGCAAGAAGAAGGTAAATGATCGGAGAGGACTGTGTAAGAAAGGCGGACAAAGAGAAAGCTCAGACAGATGGATCACATGTGGATGAGAGTGCGCCTCCTTCAAAAAATAGTCTGGTCTCTTGTTATCAACATGCTGCATTAGTTTCTTCTCAACCTCTCAAATCCATTCTCTTAGGAAAATTACACTTAAAAGAATGTGTCACCAATTCAAAATGGTATTTTTTTCTACCAATGATTTGTCAAGAAGTTGCATTTTTGGCACTTGGCACGGACACAATGGGTGAAAAAGTCCTGTTCCAAATCACATAACAAGTATTGGTCTTCGGTGATTCTGTCTTTGGACAGAGGGTGTCGTTTTCTCATACTGATATTCTGAA